AATGATTAAATAGTGTTATTCTCTGAGGGGCATCTCGTTCGATTCATCATTCAATAAGAAAACAAAATCCAAAGGTATTTCCGGAGCAATATCAAAAACGTGCAGAACTTATGTGCCAATGTAATATTAAACATATTTCATCTTTCAAAAATATTGTTCAAGTCGTTATTTATGCTACAGACACCGATATTATAGTTTTAGCAATTGGTTTTGCGGCTGAATACGGCATCAAGTTATATGTGCATTGCTCTACGTCAAAGAAAAAACAATCAAAGTTTATCGATTGCTCAGTCATTGCATATAGATGCATAGAAGAGTACAAGTTTGAGCCTATGCTATTAATGGTTATACATGCACTGAGTGGCTGTGACACTACATCATTCATTCGAAATGTTAGCAAACAACGAATATTTCGAACATTTTTCAAACAACCATCCTTCTATGCCGAATTACTAAACATGTATTCCTTACCAATTAGTCGTGAATGCTTAATGTGTGCTGAATGACTGATAATCAATTGTATGAATTCATCATTATCGTGTAAGTTGTTATAATATTTTTTTTTCACTTCTATATCTGAATCAACCTGGTCTTTTAGTTCCGTGGGTTATGGTATTTTAAATGTTTTCTCTGTAGCACAGCTTTGCTTAAGATACCTTCAACAACAATTCATAAATTTAAATTTCTAGCATTGAACCAAGTTAGAACTGCTCAAGCAACAGCACATTTGAGATCCACCTCATCTGATTCGTTTTTAAATACGTTGTTACCCACAACAGATGCTTTTGAATATCATTGCAAACGTGTTGGTGTTCAGGTTTTGATTTGGTTTCAATCCTTATTCAACAATATCGAATATCCACCACTAATTGGTAATGGGTACACTTCAGTTGATGGAGAAACAATCGTAGAATGGAAATCTACAGCATCCATGCCTGATACAAGTATAATGATAACATGTGGTTGCAAGACTAGATGTAGTACGAAAAAATGTAAATGTTTCAAACATCAATTGAAATGTACAATCTTATGCAAGTGTGAAAGTTGTGAAAATACACATGTACATGATCAGCCTAGTTCATCATCAAATTCTTCGCGGAAGGTAAATATTTAAGTACATAACTAACTTGATATCTGTGGGTTTGACATGCATTTATTAAGATAATACTTGAGCTCACATTTAAAGAGTGCTCCTTAAGATTATTTATTAATTTTATAGGACAGAGCGAATGCTACTAGCAAAAAACCAACATTTTATCCTTTTAGTGAAGATTGGAGTGATATTGAAGTAATATATTTAACAACAACGCTGTGACTTCGTTCGATCTGGCTAAGGATCGTTGTTTATTTTACTCTTCGTTTAGGACGCTAATATTGATGAAGATAGATTTGAAAATGATTTTTCGACAAATATTGATAGTAATCTTGTAAGTATAATCATTCTTCTACTAATACTATAAAATGCTGTGTATGTATCTGTATACAGAATGATGTTTTATCGGACGAAGATGAGACGCGGGTCGACGAAGAGGACGATAACGATGAGGTAATTCGTTATTCAATCCGTTCAGAATCATTAAAGTTGCTAAAAGGTTTGAACGGCGGCTAATCATGTTTCTTTTTTTTCGTGCAGTCTGCTTCATCAACTGATTACTCGTCTGACGATAATGGCGAATTACTGACTCAACAGCAGCCTTTTTCAGTGGAATATGACTTTCCATCACAATTGTCAGTTGAGTACACTGATGATCCTTGCACGAAAATGCAAGCTGATACACAGAGCAAAACGCAAACACCGGCAGAAGATTCTGATGACTTTTTTAATAATGAATAACGAAGTACCTTTGCAACTACCACAAAAACGTTTTTGGCCAGCTCGATAATCATAACCACAAAACACACCTGGATGCTAATAATCTTTATGTTTTACTACCCATCTAATTAAAAATTTTCTTCTTAAGGACATATGATAAAAAATATTTGTCTTTCATCACTCAGCCTAGCTTTCATAAGCAAAGAGATCATCAACATTTTAGATGAATTTCAGACAAGTAGTGAGCGCACTCGAATAACAGATACATTAGGAATTGAGGCCTACCATTGAAAACAAATCAATTTTAAGTAAAACCTTACCCAAATGGAGCAACATTTTCTCCTTTATTTATTAGCATATGTTCAGTTGTTCGTCGGAAGATTGAAGGAAAGGGAAACTCTAAACAGCCGAAGCCCTTTTCATCAGTTCTACCTTGGAAAATACTAGTTTTAACTTACTCTTAAAAATTTATATCACACCAGTAGGAACTGTTAAGCAATGCGTTAATGCGATACTCAATGGCTTATATGCGTTCACGATTCTTGTTTAGTATATTGTCATTTGCTTTATTTCTTTTTTACAAAGCTCATTTGCTGTATAAATAAATCAAACACTGTGAATACATGAAAAATGCGTTCCATTTCTTATTCGTTACTGCGAAGCTGATCGAAATAAATTTGGACTCATTAGCGCCAGCAAAGAAAAGGAAAACATTGTCCTAAAGTCATCCCAGATAATCATCTCAAAGAAACTACCGCTTGAATACAACTACATAAGTTCTTTGAAAAATAAAGACATCACGCATGCAGTCTTCATTGCAGAAGATATTGCAGACAACAAACAATTGTGCTACGTACCAGTTGACAATGCAGTACAGAAACTGCAATCTGAATAGACAGTTTCTCAATGTAAAATATTAAATCGGCTATAGCTAGCTACTTACATGCGTATTTAAGAGATAATGAACATACTGAATGATGCAAAATATATAGCTTCATTGAGACATAGCGAAAACTTGAAATAGAATAAAAAGCTACTAGAGCACAAAAAAGCACAAAAAATAAAATAATAACAGATATTTTGAGAAAACAGTTAAAATAAGTATTTCACAGCATAAAATAACGAATAATTTCAATAGTTTACCGACAAAGTTCAATCATTCTTTTTTTATAAAACCGTACATTCCGCCATATTCAATGTTCGCCGCTATAGCAACAACGTAGCTCATCTGCGATCTCGATAACGGGCAACGTGCAGGTCCTGTGTTTAATACAGTAAATTTGTATTGTGAAAGAAGGTTTATACTATTAATATCAGCTTTCCGAATTGAGTTTAAAAAATCATGACAAAGCTCGTATTTGTAGTGTCTGTTTTTAACCAATCACAAGAGACTAGACTACAAATGAGAAAACAAGCGAAAAAAATAAGTTAACATCAGTGACTATAAAGAAAATATAAGAAAAGAATCTTCGAAGAAAAAAAATTTGATAAATTCTTGGCGGAGACAGTCACAGGATTCTTGAAATAATCAATAAGGCATTTTTTCTTTACAAGTTCTTGAAACAGAAAATCATAGGCAAAGAATCCTTCAAGAATTTACAAGACACAAGAATCCTAAAGAATAATTTAAAGAACATCGATTAGTAGGCCTCTAGCAACAAATGTAAAATGAAAAGAATGAGAATGAATCTTTTCCATTTCGTCATCTTATGAGTCATCTTTGTACTAATATTAGAGAACTAACGAAAACGGAGATATCTCTATCCGCATATGCACCATATTCGACGACAAATGCGTCAGACGTCTGTATTTATTCTTTGTACTCTCTTCCTTTTATAAGCGTCAAATGTGCGGCAATGCAAGCACAGAATATATCTTGTGTGAATAGAGATATCTCCATTTTCGTTAGGTCTCTACTGAAGGACGATGGTTTCTTCTTTCATTCAAAAAGAAGACATCTAGTTCAAAAAAGACAAGTGATCATCACATACAGGCACCCCAGGTCGCAGGAAATGAGACATAAATGAGGCATGTATGGCTCATTTATGATATGAAGTGAAAATGATCATATTATAATCCTAAAATGATTTAAATATGAGCTTAAAATGATATTATATTTGAGTC